AATGGGTTAATGTTGGACTTGTGGGCTTGGGCAGCATTGGGTTGGGATGTTTTCATGATGCACCTTTCCTTTACATAAAACTCTGTCTTATACATGAGTCACTGTGGATTTGTTTCTCCAAAGTACCTAGACTAATACACTCTGTAAAAGTTTGATTAATGTATTTTGAGCGTCCTTCACTTGAATGCATAGCTATTTATTATCCCATTGTCTTGTTGTCCAATTGTCTCTTTAATCCTTATGCTGTGCCCTCTTTGTCTCTCATGTTGGATTTTGCCTTGGGTCTCTTTCATTGAGATTAACATTGCCACTTCCGGCTTCTTGGGGGGTTGTCATTAGCTTGATATATTTTTTCTCATCCTTTGAATTTTAGTCTCTTTTGTGTGTGTGTCTAAGGTGTGCTTCTTGTAAGTACCATATTGATGGATCCTATTTACTTTTTCAATCTGCTACTCTTCTTCTCTTGACTAATGTATTTAATCCAGTTGCATTCAATATTGTTAATGATATGTACAAATTCTTACCATTTTAATAGTTTTATTGACATAATTCATATACAATCCAATGATTTAAACATATTAAAGAGTTGTGCAATCACTATCAAAATCAATTTTAGAATGTTTTCTTCATTTTTGTACTCATTATTATTAGCTCCCCATTTCCTTCCAACCTCCCCTGCCATAACCTAAGAAATCATTAATCCAGTTACTATCTCTATAGATAATCCTATCCTGGATTTCATATACAGAAAAATATACCCCACCAAATCCAAAACTCAGAATAAATAAAACAGAAAAATAACCCCCTCAATCCAAAAGAAATCAGAAAATAGTAACAAGAAAAATTTTTTAAATTTTTAGAAAGGGAGAACAAATGAGGTGTTAAATTTTAACCTAGCTATATCCATTTTAACCTAGCTACATACATTACATACATTAATCCATTTTCCAATGCATTCTATTAGGTAGCAAGGCTATTCACATGCCTGATCAATCATCAAAGGGGATTTCCCAGAAGTTTAATCCATGTGGGCACCCTACAAATGGATTTTGGGCTTTCACTGTCATCCATAGCCATCTGCAAATCATGTGCTCAGAATTTAACTTTTAATACTATCCCCTCCTTCAGTTTTGGATTTTAGTCTTTACAATCTTTGGATCACACAGGCTGATATGCATCCTTTGTGTGGACTTAGCTGACACCTTGCTTAGATGGCTGATTGTTTTAAGATAAGCATTTCAAACCCCACACACTATTCTTTCTGATAGATGGACACCATCTGATTTCTTCACTGCACTTTACTACAGCATCCATATCTTTAGTGATCTCTTCACCAGGGCAAGTATCAAGTAGGTCCATGTCAAAAGAATGAATTGTTCTTTTTTAAAAAAGTTTTATTGGCATATAATTCATATATCATACAATTCAATAGTTCAATCATATCAAGAATTGTACAATCATTATCACATCATTTTAGAACATTCCCTGCCCCCGTGGTTAAATCGCCTTTAAAATGAGTTGTGCAGTCACTATCAATTCTAGTGTCCCCTCCCCACTACCGCCTATATTTTTTATTCCTGAAATCCCCTTTCCCTCCCTATCACCCACTCTCCACCCCTGCATCTTTTATCAACTCTTGTATCAGTTATTATCACTATGCATCCACCCCTCCTGTGCTTCCTAAACTGGGAAATCCAACGAACAAGGTGGTAAGGATAAAATAATAAAAATATAAAAACAAAAATACAAAAAAAAAATTATCAAGATAGAAAAGACCCTTATCACCATTCAAAAAGCCACGGAAGAAATTTCTGTCATGGAACAAGTAGGAGATACTTACACCCAGAACAAATTCAGGCTGGGTCTATAGGGAGATCAGCTGGCCAAGTATCCAGCTTGATCAGCATAATCAAGATTACAATGGTCTCTGCCTGACAGTAAGGCTGTTCGAGACTCTTGCCTGTGGCCAGCGTGGATCTGCCAGGCACTCAGTCTGACTAAATACTCTCCAGATGGGTTTGGGGCTAGGTGGTAAAGACAGAGCAGTGAACAAGATAACACTTAAGGATTTCACAGTCTTCCATTGGAGACAAACAATTAATAGACAATTTGAATACAGCATGTCAAATTCTATGATAGGTGTATTGCACTGTATTGTGGGCCCCTACTTTGCCCTGAGGTCTCCCAGAGAAAGTCATCTCAGCTGAGACCTGAAGGATGTGCAGGAATCAGGCAGAAAACAAAGTCAGGAGAGGAGGGCAAACAGAGGGGTGAGTCAGAAAAATGTTCCTGGAAGAAAAGATTATGACCAAGGACTCTGGAGGAGAAAAGGCATCTGAAAGCCAAACAAGAAAATCAGGGACGACAGGACTACGTAAGGTGAGGGAGAAGGGCAGTGCGTTCTGTTTGGGACATTGGGTCTGAGGTGTCCTGGGAACATCCACCTGGCGATTTCCAGGAGGCAGATCACTGTAGAGATCTGAAGCTGGAGAACCAAGTTGAGGCTTGGGTGTTGGGAATGACTATAGTCTTATCTGAGGATCACTTTGGGGAGGGCTTGCAAAGGCAGCTGAAGGAGTGTAGATTTGAAGAGGAAGTGACACCGTTCAAACTGAGCTCTAGGAGGCCAGAACAGGCAGCTGGTCACAAAGGGGTGACAGGGAATAGGAGCACCGGAAGTAGCCCATAGTGGAGGTGGCTGAGGAGATGGAGGAGACATAGGAGGCACATTCAACACGGCCAGGTCAGTTTACTGAGTGTCATACATAGCATGCCACACAGTGGTGTGCTGGAACTGGCTCATACCAGCTCACGAGAGCCAGTTCTTGGGAATATTCTGATCCAATTCTGATAAAAGTTACTACTAAAACTTTTAAAGTACATATTAAAAACAATTTTAATGAGCATATACAAACAATAAGTTATATGAAATAATCCATTTCTGTCAAGTTGTTTCTGACTTCCAGTAATCCTATAAGATAGAGTAGAACTGCCCTTAGGGTTTCCAAGACTTTAAATCTTTATGAAAACTAAAAAAAATCAAGTGCAAAAAATGGAGCGCCGCGGCCCAGCCAGTGCTCCGGCCCGGCCACCCGGCCGCATGCCGGGGTCGGAATCCTGCAGGACGACTGTCCTCACCCTGCCTGCAGCCTGCGTGCGCTCCCGTGCCGCCGCCACGCTCTGGCCGGGCACGGCTCTCGGTGCGCAAGTTCACAGACAAACACGAGTGGGTAACCGCAGAGAATGGTGTTGGAACAGTGGGGATCCGCCATTTTGCACAGGAAACTTTGGGAGATATTTACCGGAGTCTTCCCGAAGTTGGGACAAAACTGAACAAACAGGATGCGTTTGGTGCTCTGGAAAGTGTGAACGCTGCTAGTGAACGCTACTCTCCTTTATCAGAAGTCACAGGAATTAATGACGCGCTTACAGAGAATCCCGGGCTTGTGAACAAACCCTGTTAGAAAGATGGTTGGCTGAACAAGATGACACTGCTGACTAACCCTTCAGAACTTGAACTAATAAGTGAAGAGGCCTATGAGAAATACATAAAATAATGGAACGTGAAACAATTACTCCAGCGTAAAAGTACCCCTTAACTTCCTAATGACTGCCGAGAAATAAAATGCCCACGGCTTGCACAGTAGCCTGTGATTTTTGTTAGGATCTAGTTACATTCAAAAGTCATGAAATGATCTGCGGTGAGAATCGCCAAAGATACATTGTTATCTTAATTCTCCTTGAATGGAGCTACTGCTGATGCCCAGACATGGGTTGGGGCCAGTATACTTCATTCTCTTCCTGCTGGAAATGACCAGGAGTGGAGATAAGTGTTTATTAGTTGTACAGTATCAGCTGAAGAACAACACTATTTTAAGTCTGCAATACACTTGCCTTTGCCAGTGCTATTTTTATACAATGAAGCAACAGCCTTACAGCAACATAAGTAACCATTTAATAAAACCTTCAGCTCCTTCATTAAAAAAAATCTTTATGGAAACTGCCACATCTTTCTTTCTCCGGAAATGACTGGAAGGTTTGATCGGCCAACCTTTTAGACTAGGAGCAGAATGCTTCACCACTGCACAACCAGGGCTTATTTTTATTATATTACAGTAAGTACAAATATAATAAATACTAAAAACGTGCCTAATTATGTTACATTTTATTGTATCAACACCATTGATGGCATTTATACCTATTCTATTTATGTGGTAGGAAAAATTATGGGTTACTGTGCATCTCTCCAACTCCCTATTCTGTGTATACCATATATACTCGAGTATAAGTCGACCCAAATATCAGCCAAGGCACTTAATTGTACCGCAAAAACTGCATTAAAAATGTGCTGGAAAACTTGGCTTATCCACAAGTATATACAGTAACTTGAAATCAGCCATAAAAATTAGCAAACACTTTAAGTCCGTACTTGATCAATTGTTAAGAGAGGGATGGACAAAATGTTAAAATGCATATTAAATCTAGAAGTATGTTATCTGTAGCCATCATTTGCTGGCAAATTTTGGTTCATTTATACCTCCCTTGCCTTCTTCACTCACCAGATTATTTACTTTTTAAAAAAGACATTTCTCGCCGGGCAGTGTAAGATAAGATA